CTGCTCCAACAACACAAGCACAGTGTATCCCTATATGTCAACCTGCCTGTGAACCTCAATGTATACAAACCCAATCTCTTGTTCAAGCCTCACCAGGTCCAGCTGCCGCAGCTCCAACACCTATAGCCGTAGGAGCATCCCCACTTGTATGTATGCCAGCCTGCCGACCAGCCTGTGAACCCTCATGTATTCAGAACGTTCTTCAACTGATTCAAACCTCTATCCCAGAAAGCAAACAATGTATTCTTATCTGTATGCCCCTATGCGCTCAGGAGTGCATTCAAGCATATACACCTACAGCCTCAACCCCTGCACCTCAACCCTCTTCAGCTGTGCCAGGTTTTTTGCCAACCACAGCACAACCACAGCCATTGTCATCGTCCACACCTCCACAACAACCCCAATGTATCCCTGTTTGTCAACCCTCTTGTGAACCTTCATGCATCATGCAACAGAATCAGAATACAGTACAGGTAGGTCTGCTTAATTCTTTCCTGCCCTTCCTTGCACTATTCATCAAATTAGACCATTTGACCTACCCTATCCTTAAAAAGAAAAAAATTATTTGTAAAAGGTAGTGTTATTGTAGCAGGGACACAGTTTCAATGAAAAATGTACATGATGAGTGCTTTAAAGGCGTTGCAGCGGAAATTTATTTCTGGAACTTACTGTATCTTGCGTCTAAACTCCGCTTTAGCGCACTTAGACCATTTTCCGCGCTTTTAGTGATAAGGTAAGCATGGTCAATGGCGACTAAAAGCAGTTTATAATTATTCATAATTGTATAATTCCAAGGATTTAAATTCTAACAGAGACAGAATTGAATTGACGATTCATTGTGAATTGTTAAATACTTTGCATACTAGTGCACTTTGTTCAAAGCAAAATTCTTCTTACCTTCTGCCACCAACTCTTGTCCTACAGATTATTTCAAAATTATCAAGTCAACTGGAGCAAGTTTTCTTAGAAGTTTTCCTATTTGGTGTAATATTTTTAAAAATTTTGAAAGTACGCGAAGAATGTCTTGGCATTGTAGTTTGCAAAAAAAAAACAATTGTCAATTAGGGCTATCCAGCTAAACAACGATGTCACTTTACAAGATCAAAGAGATCGGAGACTAGGTTAAAGACTTGCAACATATTTTGAGCAATTGTTCCAATCGTTCTAAGGTTGTGTCTCACAAATTAATAGAACGAAGCCATATGCAGTTAGTGTTGAAATAAAGATTGGCCCCTCTTTACGGACCAAAATAATCAAACTTAGTTAGCAGACTGTTAGATATATTTGAGACTGCTGAATTTTAACTCATTATCAGCTTCATTTGGTTCAAAAGATTTCCCTGTTGAGGTTCGCTTGAGCAAATAATTTTTGATCTCTATGTTCCTAGATACAAAATTCTTGGAGCGGGTAATGAT